CCCCCTCGCCCGCCGCTTCTGTGCCTTCGCAGCCGAGGAGCCACGGCCCCCAGGGCCTGGCGTCCCCACGGCCGAGCCACCGAGGCGACCACTCACATCACAGCTTCTCAAATGGGAACAGGTGGGACTCGGCCTCCTTCTTCTCCCTGCTGCTCTTCCTGAGGCGCCTCCCCTTCCGCTCCTCCTCAGCCTCTCGGTTCTGGGGCCACGAGGCCGCCAGGATCCTGGCTGCTTCCGCCTGAGAGCTGGTCCCCTCCTCCTCGTCTGACGAGAGCCCACCTCCCGCGTCCGCGTGGGGCGCCGCTGCCGTGCTCTGGGGGGTGGGGACAGCGGGGGTCAGCAGCACCCTGACCTGGAGGACAGGGCTCCCCCAGAGGTCCTGGGGCGGCTGTGTGGGCTCACTGCTGGGACGGACACAACAGTGTGAGGCAGGAAACGGCCCCAAGGAGCTACAGCCAGTCCAGGCGGCCACTGCCCTTGCGCCTTGCGTTTATTACTGCGTTTCTGAGCAAAAGTGCCCGGCGCTCTGAGAGCCCCCAGAGGCCAGGAGGGGCTGGGAGGCCAAGGAAGAAAGCACTGTGGGGGGAGGAGCCAGTGGGAACATAAAGCCAGGTGAGGGGCCACCAGGGGGCCCTGCGGGGGCAGCAAAACACAGGCGGTTTTGCAAGGCCAGGAGGTGGCCGTGAGGTGGGGAAGGGGCTGCTCCCAGAGCACGTCCCTGCATCTCTGCCCCACGACCGACCACACCGCTGTGTCTGGGGCTGTGGGTGCTGGGAGAGATCACTCGCGGGCCTGGGGATGGTCGCCGCACTGGGAGCACGAGGCCGGGAGAGCGGGGCAGCTGTCCCGCTGGCGGGCACTCAGCACCAGACCTGACCCGCAGCAGCCCCTCTCGTGCGGACGGCGCGGGGCTGGGCCTCCAGGAACACCGGTCCCCACACAGAAAGGACTCAGGTCTGGGGCGTCTAAACAGCTGTGACTCGACATCTGGGCAGAACCGGCCCGTCCTCCCCTCGAGGACCACACTGACCTGGGCCCCGTAGCGAAGCTGCAGCCGCTCCCTGATGAGCAGCCCTCTGACCAGCAGCTTCCAGTTCCCCAGTGCCCGCTTCTCCCTTTTCTGCAAACAGAACGCAGCATGGTGAGCCCGGCCTCTCAGGAACACAGGTGACACAGATGATGCTCCTGAGTTTCTCACCCACAGTCTGTTCTTAAACGGGCGACGCACACAGTGATACACATGATGGCACCAAAAACAAAAACCTCCTGTTAACCGTCACCAACTCACAAACTGTGCAGGGAACTGGGTGACGTGGAACCGGGACCCCGGGCGAGTCCCTTTCAGAGGCAGAGGTTGTGCAGGGGCTGCAGGCCTGGAGCCCGGATCCAGGTACCCTGGGCAGTGACAGGGGTTGGGGGGGCAAGGACGCTGTTCATCCAGAAGCCAGAGCCGGAACAAGTGCCGGGCACGCAGGCCCTCCCGCCCCCCGGGCCCCCCGTCACCTCCTTCTCCTTCTTCTCCACGAGCGCCTGCTCGTTCTCCCAGGCGGTCAGCAGCACGTCTCTGTATTCCTCACAGACGATGTAGCCATCAGTTCTGCGGGATCAACATGGATGGTCTTCCTGTGCCTGCCCTGGCCTGCACGCCTCCCTCTGCAGGGGACAGAGGGCCACTCCAGAGCACTCAGGGCCCTGAAGGGCTTCCTGGCTCAGCTGGTCCACAATCCTGGCCGCGGCTGCTGGCGGACATCGCCCGCACAGAAGGCAGGCCTGTGGGCATGGGGGCTGCGTCCTCTTCCCCAGCCCCTCCCCGCCCCCACCACAGGGCAGGGCAGAGGTCACCAACCAGGAAGGATGATGGCCCTGTTTGGTCACCTTAGGGTTTCACTGGTTTTGCAGCTTCTGCATGGAAGCCAGAGTAAAGGTGTAGAAGTAAACCACTGAGGGTTAAGGCTGATTTTGCAAATCCAGAGTAAAACCTGGACGGTAACGGCCACGGGGCCTCGCCCCCCACCAGCCCCACACCCACCTCCTGCCCTTACTCCCTCCCCACGCCCTCCTCCCGGCCTCCACGGACGGACGGCCCCTCACGCACATGGGGTGGGAGTAGCCTTTGTGGAAGTCGAAGCCCGTGACGGCCTGGGCGCAGTCGATACCCAGCTTGCGGGCCACGCGGTGCAGGTTGGGCAGGTTGAGCTGGATGCAGCCGACAGGCATCATGCTGGGCAGGAAGAGGTACACGTTCCCAAACTCGTTCCGGGGCACCTGCGGGGGCACACGGTGTCTGGCCGGCCGCAGGGGGAAGCGGCCCGTCCCGACCCCCCGAGCGCGGCCCTCACCTTCCCGTCCACAGCCACGGGCGGCTGGTACTCCTCTGTCTGCCAGCGGCCAAACAGACCCAGGTCATTCTGGTCCTGCAGCTGCGGCTCCGCCAGGCGGGCTCTCCGGGCCCGGTTGGAGTAGCCCTTCACCATCTGCATCGGGGGCAAGTCCACAGTCACCAGAGGCGGCCATCTCCTGAGCACGTACCGCCCACCAGGCACTGTTCCCAGTGCTTCTGTGTATTAATTATTTCACTTTTTCAACAAGCCCAGGACGTAGGCTCTATTTTCACCTTCATTTTACAGGTGAGCAGCCTTGGAGGTGGCAACAATTCACCTACAGTCACATGGCCTGTGGGGCTGGAGCCCGGGCACTGAGCGGCTGTGCTGTGTTCTGCATCCATCACTGATGGGAGACTGGGACTCAGAGACAACCACGTGGCCAGAGAGCGACGGGGCCAGGATTTAACCCCCAGGACTGCTGCAACATGCATCCCCGAAGGCGCTGCCAGCTTGGAACCCCCTACCCGCTCCCTGCAGACACCCAGCGGCCAACACTAGAGCCCCAGCCAGGTGAGGGGTGAAGAGTGGAGGGGGCGTCAGCGAAGCTCCTCTGCCACGGGTCAGACAGCCCGTCCCGTATTCCTCCTCTCTTTTCTACAACCCTTCAAAGGTATAAAAACTATTAAGGAGCAAGAGCCCCACCAGCACGGACCCAGGTGGGGACAACCTGCGAGCGTTCCTGCCGCGGGCCCAGGGCACCCATGCCGTCACCCCAGGGCAGACAGGCCCTCTCTGAGGAAGCATCCGGCCAGAGGTGACCGCTCACGACACCAGTCACTGGGGGCAGAGAAGGTGGTCTTTGTCCTCCTTGGAAGACTCAGAAGACGACGCCAGCATGGGGAGGCCGGGGTGTAACGGGACCCCCCGCCAGGCCCGAGGAGGGCGAGGTCAACACGGGCTGCTCAGGAACACGCCGCAGCCGAGCTGCATCTGAACGGGAGCGGGCGGCCTGGGGGCCGTGGGGGCGTGGAAGCGCAAGAACACAAGTATCTGGGGGGCCCTGAAGTCGTCCGGCTGCGGGCGGAAGTGTGGCCAGAGAGGAGGTGGGCACCAGCGCACCGCGGCCTCCACGCCATGAGGGCGGGCCACACGGGGAGGGAGCACCACCCGGGGCTCTGTGTTTCAGAGAGACCCCGACTGCGGTGCGGGGGCTGGGCTGGGGCTGGGCCAGAGGCTGGAAGGCAGCTGTGACCCAAGCAAGAGGTGAGGATGCGGGACAGCGGGAGCCAGAACACGGGGGAGCCCTGCCGCCGGGGGCTGTTCTGCAGCTGTGCTGACACCGCCCGTGCCGGGCACACGTGGCCACTCCACGTCTGAAACGTGGCTAGAATGAACCGAGACGCGTGGGAAGTGAAACACACCAGATTTCAAAGTCTTAAGAAGAAACAGAAAGTGAATGTAAAATACCTCATTAGCATTTCAAAATATTACATGTTAAAACAACTGTTTTAGAGGTATTTGGATACTTTCAAGTATGTTAAAATTCCACCTGTCTCTTTTCAAGTTTTTAATCTGGCTGCCAAAAAATATTAAGTCTGTGGCCTACAGGAAGTTTCCGTCAGTCTGCAGAGCGAGGAGACCCACGCAGCACCCGCGCCTGCTCCCCGCGCCTCAACGCCTCCCCCCAAGCGGAGGCCCTTCTGGTCGCACCAGCTCCCCCGGCTCCACAAACCACAGGGTCCCCCTCGGGGGTCTGATAAAGTGATTCTGTCCCCTGACCGGCCACTGCCCTCCCCTGGCTGACTCGGGCCGTGTGTCCGGTGACAGCCTGTGCGGGTCTGTGCTGAGTCCCCACATCTCCAGGCAGCTGAGCGGCCTGCGTGGCGGCAAGCGCACAGAGGCAAGCGGGGTCGGGGCAGGGACCCCGGGCTGTGCGCGGCCGCTTCCCTAGCTCAGGCCTTGGACAAGCCACCTCCCATCTGGGCTCCCAGTTCCTCATCTGTAAAACGGGCACCGTCACGCCATCCCCTGAAGACTCAGCAGAGACCGTGCACCTGCGAAACAGGGCAGGACCATGGGCGAGCGTGTCCATGCAAAGCAGGGCGCTGGCCTTAGAGCAACTGGGAGCACAGCTCTGACCTACCGAGCCTTGGGCACACACCAGGGGCCTCGGGGCTGCTTTCTGGCCTCGATTTCCTGCGTACTCTGGAAGGGCCCCTCTTACAAAGTCCTAGTTAAAGACTTAAGTCACCTGCGCACAGCAGCCCTCGCCCCTGCTTACCTTGTAAGGTACCTCTCCAAGCCGCACCACTCTTGCCTGTTTCAGCCACGTGTCCCTGGAGTGCAGGGTATGCACGCAGTCCCTACAGGGGCCCACGGGAGACAGGAGACAGAGTTCACACCCCTGCATGAAGCACCACATGCACCAGAGCCCACAGTGGAGGGGGGAGCATGGCCCTGGGTCCTCTCCCAGACCATCAGGGACCTGCGTCAGGCCACACAGCCCACCCTCCCACCACAGGGAGGCCCCAGGCAGCCCACAGGGGCGAGCCGAGGGCCCAGCAGCGCAGGCGCACCTCCCACTACCCAAGGGTCTGGTTGGCCGCACACCAGGGACAGACGGGTGACCACAGAAGGGGTGGGGAGCCCCGAGAACGACACGGACACTAACAAACTACAGGGACCAGGACTCGTGCACACGGAACTGCCGGGCCGGGCAGCCTGTGACACTGCGCCCCTCTGGCATCACTCTCCCTCCAGAGCCCAGAGCTGCACCTCCCACAAGCTCCTGCTTCCTGCGGAGACCGGTCAGTGAGCCAGCCCTTCCCCGGGGCCCCGGGAGCAAGGCGTGGAAATCAGGCCCCTTCCCACCGCCTCCCCCGAGCCTGAGGCTGACGGCCAGCACAGCACCGCGGGCGCGGGCACAACCCCTCCACACCACTTCCCAGCGGCGTGACCCCGTCCACGTCACTCTCCCTTCCTGAGCCCCGTGTCCCTCTCTGTCCAGCAAGGACAGGAGTGCTGCCTCCCTGCCTCACAAGGCTGCTGGGGACCAGACAGTTTTGGGAGCTGAGGGGCATTCCTGCCGGAGTGAGGGCTCCATCCGCTCACCCTGCGGGGCAGTCCCCGCCCCGAGGTCACGGTCCTCAGGCAGGAGTGGGGAGGGCAGCGGGCAAGCAGGTGGGCATCGTGTGACGCTCCTGAAGAGCACAGAGGAGGTGGACACGGCAGCCCTTTCACAGTAAAGGTCAGCTCCTGACCACTTCACACCCATTAGGATGCAATTATCAAGGAAACAGAGGACGAGTGTTGGCGAGGACGTGGACACTGGAACCCTTGTGCTCTGCTGGGGGAAGGGAATACGCGCAGCTGCTGCGGAGAACAGCACGTCAGCTCTCCACCAAGTTAAACCATGACCACATGATCCAGAAATCCTACTTCTGAGCATGTATCAAAGACCTGAAAGCACAGTCTCAGAGAGATGTCTGTGCACCGTCCACAGCAGCCACAAGGGGAAGTGCACAGCGCCCACTGTGGAGGCCAGACGCACAGCGCAGGGCCCCCGCCCACGAGGTGCCCGGAGCAGTGAGCTTCACACGCGCAGAGGGCAGGACGGGGCTGGGGCGTGGGGTGGGGAGTGAGGGTTTAATGGGGACAGTTCGGGGGAAGATGGAAAAGTTCTGGAGACGGTGGGGATGGTCGCACAGCAGCGTGAATGTGCTCCCCCGGAAAATGGTTAAACTGTGCACTTTGTTCTGTGTATTTTACTACATTAAAAAAAGGTCCTCCTCTTGGGCGTTCCCCATGCAGGTGCCCCGTCCA